TGCACCCAGGACCTTCCCAGGAGCAGTAAACCCTGCTGCAGTTTTTTTTAGTTTCGTGCACCCTAATAGGGGCGCACATGTAGATGCTGAGAAATTAACTGAGCAGTTAATTATTCGACTGTGTAGTAAATGTTTTGTGTGGGTGTCTTCTGATTTTTAGCTTTGGGCCTTGGGAAAATAAATTTGCTAGTCTAATTAGAACATTGTCTACCTTTTTCCCCATTTATCCCTTAAAGCCCCGTGGTAATCTCATTTTAAGACCACTGCTGATGACAACTTCCTTCTAATTCTTCTGGGTGCATGGTTAGAGTTAACTAACTCCTTTCAGTGATAATTTGGGTAACTTCATTCCCATTACTGTTGCTGTAAAGAAAAACGTATTACTCCTGAAGGTTGTATATTCAGATTGGTAACCTTAATTATTATGGATCAGTTCAGCAGATTTTCATCAGTTTCCTTTCTTATATTAGCTTTTCCAGAAGGGCAGCATTTAGCAGTTCTGTTGAGCTCTCTGTATCCTTAACATATTAAAGTCCTTTCATTAATACCTTTTGGGTAGCTCTTAGTACAGTAAAAGCTGCTCTATTAACCGGTATGCTGGCTTGTAAGGTAAAAACGAAACTGGAAGTGCCCACCGTGTGGGCTCAGCGAAACTGGAAGTGCCACAGCCTGAGGCAAAGCAGCCTCCACGGGGCCTGCCTCCCTGTCCCTCGGGGCCCGCGGGAGGGGCGGCAGCCCCAACACTGACTTGGAAGACAACATAAATAAACATACATGAAAATAGGGATTTGTGGAGGTGTGTCAGAGTACTTTAAAATTGGGACTCAAATTTAGATCACTTTGTAAAAAAACAAAACAAAAAAACTTAGTGGCACGTACAGTGATAACTTGAACCAGTTGGAATATGTCTAAATAGTTGGTACTTGACAGTGCAGGAAAAGAGCAGCTGGTAACATTTTTTTTTTGTGAATGAAGTCTCATTCTGTTAGGATGTACTCAATCCATACAAGGCAAAATGCCCATATTTGATGTTTCTGCTAATATTAATTGGCATGTAATAGCCATGCCACAACTATGTTTAATATTTTATTCAGTTGCTTAAACTCGTTTTCTCTATTAGTCATCCTGTTCTACTTGGTTAGTGCATGTGCATATTTGTCATTCTCCTAGTTGGAAAGTTACTTGCATAAATTTTAGCAATTTTTCCGTCTTCTACTTGTGAACTTGAAACGCAGATTTCTATCACCAGAGCCCTCGGCTATTCTGTTTTTTGAGGGAATACCGAGTAGAATTGAGCTGTTGTATGGTCAAATCAGGTGTGTTAGAAGTATGTATGTCAGGTGTGTATGGAATGCTGTATGTATGTTAGGAAATGAATCTGTCTCATACTGTTCACATACTGTGAAGAAATGGGAAGAGTTGACTAAGGTGTGATTTTATCAATTATAATCTCTTATATTGCATATGCTGACTGCCATTTATATCACTCTATGCTTCATTATCTGCATTACTGACCAAGCAGAGGCCTTTGCTGATCCTCATACTCAAATTTTCATATCTGGGCACACTTTGTTTTGTGTTTTGTTTTGGCCATTTTGAAAGCGGATTATGTATACTGAACTTCTGTTGTGCTACGAATTTGAACTGGTTTCCAATCACTTCTATTGGTTTATGTGCAATTTCTATTCCTAGGCCTGGTCTGCCACATGAGACATCAGTTTCTACTATGCTGACGACCACTGTCATGGCCCCTCTTGGTGGCCTTGGGAGTCTGGCAGGAGTGGAGGGGACAAGCCATGCTACAAAGCATGGCTCTGTGCATCCACCCACCTGCCCCTCACAGCAGAGTTCATGGCTGGGAGCATGGAGGAGGTTGGCACGGGCTGCCTGGGGGCAGGGAAGGGCAGGGGAAGCAAGTAGCAGAGGTGGCAGTTCCCAGAGGAGCAGCTGAAGGAGCCATCAGAGTAGCCGGGGCAGGTGGGTGCCAGATGGGAGGAAAGCATTTACCTCCTCAGACAGGGTAATCTCGCAGCGCTCTCGTGTGCCATGAAAGCAATGGAAGAGTGGTGTGGCACACCCTTTGGGGATCGCTGTTGTACGCAGTAAAGTATGTCTTCCATTTTATCAAAGAATTAGTGGAGAGGTTTCACAAGACTGTTTCAGATGGAGTTGGAAATTAGAACCTAGGATTCTAATGCTATCCCTGCACGGTACAAGACAACGTGCAACTAAAACGTGGTGCATGTGCCAAAAAGCTTTGCTTCTGAGCATAGCTTTTTGAGGTACATACAGCTCTGTAATAATGCACTTGCATAGCTTCCAGATATGAAGCGGCTGCAGTCTGCCTGAGCACAATGCTGACTTGTACCATATAGCCCTCTTGTACCATGTAGCCCTTACCTGTTTTCAGCACATGGCCTTTCAAACTGGATGAAACCTGCTTTTTTAGCTGTGCCTAATCACTTTATTACCGTCTTCTCAGAACATGGATGAAACCAGTGTTTCTCTTTTTCTAGTATTTTCTTTTTTACTAAAATGTGCATTTCAGTGGCCAAGCTGTGTCAAATTTTGTGCTACTGGCTAGTGTGAACACAGATAACAATTATATCTGTTACTAACAGAGAAAGAAATGAGTGCTTCCCCTGCCTTTTCATTGTTTCTTTAGATGTATAAGCATGGTCTGATGGATCTTCACTAAAAACAGAAGCTTGCTTTCTTCTCCCCAACCTGAGAAACTGAAGCATAGATTTTTACCATTATAGTAAACATCTGAATTAGGGATGTAAATATTTTTAAAATGAGCCATTTCAGCTCTTCTAATATACATTTGTTAACTGTTTAACCAATAACACATACCTATGGAGTAGCCAGTGCCTGCTCTGCTTGCTGCAGGGCAACACATGCAGGCAGCAAGTTATGCTCCTGCTACCAGCCATCAGGCCCTGCCCTGCCCTGCCTTCCCTTCCCTATGATTCCTCCTTTAGGGAGAAGGCTGGCTCAGCTTGGCTCCGCTGTTTCCTCTACCCACCTCAGCCCCAGCCCTTCAGTTTAAGTGGGGCAAACTGCTGGTGAAAGAGGCAGGCAGTATGCAAAAGCGGGCTTTGCTGCCTGGAAAAGTAGTACCAGTAAGTTGCATGATAATTTGCACAACATAGTCTGTTTTAAACATTAACTGTAGTGCATAAATAGTATATAGTTTGATCATTTAACCTTTCACATCCCTATTAGTCCAACTCGTTCAACACCCAAACTAGTAAGGCTTTGATGTGCTTAATTTCTGGACATGGTGTGAACAGAAGTGGAACACATCTTATTGATTTTTTTTTTTTTTTTTTAGGAAATTTGCATGCTTTTCTTTTGAACCAGAAGAGAAAGGAACATTTACACTATTAAGTATGTTGAATGAAATTTTACAAACACACTTGTGCAACTTAAATGCATGAGTCCCAGGACAAGTTAAATATTTTTCTTTTAAAAATCTTGTGTGACATGCTGTACTTACTCGTACACTACGCTCCCCCAAACAAAACAAGGACCTTTTCATGGGAAGGCAGAATAAAGAAGAAAAAGTCTTGTGCCATGGCACACTAGCTTACTCATGGCTGAATGCTACAGCTGCCTGGAGTGGAGCTGGCAATCCCCTCATCAGCATCACTCTTCTCCCTCTCCCCTCCCTGTAAAGCCAACAGCTACAGATTTAAACTCTTACAGCCACCTCTGTTAATCCTCTAAAGCAGGGGTTGTCAACTAGGGGTACATGTACCCCTGAGAGTACTTGGGAAGGCCCTAGGGGATATGCATAGGTGGGTGGAGATGGAGTGCCGAAACCTACCACCCTGTGCTGCCACGGTCTCCCAGGAGCAGGGCCATGTGGAGAGGCTGAAGGCAGCGGTACCCCTCTGTGGGCCACACAAGTGCAGCCCTGCTGGGTGACCAGATGGGGGTGTTTGAGGGAGCTCACACATGGTGGCTGCTGCTGCCCCCCAGCACCCCACACTGCCAGGGCTCCACATCTGGCCACACTCTCCTTCCCCCATGCCCCCCCCCACTCTGTCTGGCCACATGCTAACCTCTTCCCCTCCCCTTCCCCCACCTGCATCCTGCTGTGTGCCACTTTTCCCCCTGCCCCCCCAACCTGCTCTGCATCTGGCCACCAGGGGGACGCTTATTAAAAAAGGTTGAAAACCCCTGTCTTTAAAGCATTAATTTGGCAGATATTGTGAGGAGGTTAATCCGCTAGCTTTTGGTCCTGGCAGCAGGAGAGGGAGAGTGATGCTGACATAGGCATGCCACCCTTGCTTCAGGGTTGTTGGTTGTAGCCTTGTGTGTTCAGGCCTGGGTGATCCAATGTCAAGCACAAGCCCCTGTCACAATTCTGATGTGAAAATCAGCTTCCTTATTTAAGATGCACCCCACTATTAGATGGCTCATTTGTGTGAAGTATGTGAATAAATAAAGTGTGTGTTCCAAAATGTTAGAAGGCACTCAAACACCATGGGGAATGGGTTCAGTGTAAGCCAGAGGTTCCCAAACTCCAGCAGATTGTACATCACAATCTTAAGTAAAACGATACAACCTTAAGTACCACCAGCAAATTTTTCAGTTTTAACCTTAAGTACCACCAGCAATATTCTGTCATATAAAGTCATTATAAGAAATCTGTTAACGTGTACCACTGACGGGCTGTCTGCCTACCACTGGTGGTATGCATACCACAGATCAGGAATTGCTGGTGTAAGCACCTAATCCGAGTAAATGTACGTGGTGTTTTTCAGACTCAACAAAAAAGAAATAGTCATATAGACTAAGAAAATTTGCATTTGGAAATTAGAATTTGGTAAGAAATACTACATCACTTTTTTTATAATTTATTTTTCCAAAGCAAGATTACACTTAAGTCGCCGCCTTTTTGGGGTTACTTTTGTTTGTTTGGTTTTTATATTTCCTTTTGAATTGCCCTTGTCAAATTCAGAACATTGAAATTTTTATTTTTCTTCCAGGATTCATTTGTGATGTTCTGCTGTGCTGTTGTAAGGAAGAGAAGAGAGTCCCTTGCACATTGACATTTGGAAAATCTCCTGCTAATGTTTTTCAAACTAACTGAATTATCATAGAAAATCATCATGGGAGGAGCTGTGAGTGCTGGGGAAGACAATGATGACTTAATTGATAATTTAAAAGAAGCTCAGTATATCCGCACTGAGAGTGTGGAGCAAGCCTTCAGAGCAATTGATCGTGGCGATTATTATCTGGAAGGATACAGGGACAATGCTTATAAAGACTTGGCTTGGAAGCATGGAAATATACATTTATCAGCACCTTGCATTTACTCTGAAGTCATGGAGGCTCTGAAGCTTCAACCAGGATTGTCTTTTCTAAATCTTGGTAGCGGAACTGGATATTTGAGTACAATGGTGGGATTAATATTAGGTAACTTCCTTTTTATTTTTCAAATTTCTTCAATTGAAATACAATATTGTAATTGATTTCAGTTCCTTAGATGATCTCTTCAGCATTTTTACAAGGATTTTCTATTAAAGTGCTATAATGAAGTAATGTAATGGAACAAGCATAAATTTGAACATGCGTTCTGAATGCTGTAAAATATTTAAGAAATGGTAGCTAATTTTTCATGAAAAAATGTTTTAGAAAAATAGTTGTCACTTGTCCATCTTGCTCTTCCTAGTGTTCTTTGATTCCTAAATTGTTTTTTACGTGCTTGAAGCAGAGGGTATATAAAGGATTATTATCTTTCTACAGTACTTAAACTTGCTAATGATTCATAAAAGTATTCTCTTCAAACAGGACAAGATATTTATATACTTCCTAGATGGATAACTTGGATTAAATTAGGAATATTAATATTTTTTATTTTTTGTTATATTTGGTGTGGCTTTTAATCCAGCATAGCTTTGTAGCTTGCTTGTTTCATTGTAAGTGCATGTGATTGTGCTCCTGAATGAAAAGACTGTATGATGCTGACTAAAGTTATTTTAAAGGCCTACCAGGTTTGAGAATAGAGAATTTAATATGTATAAATGACAAAATGTCAAGAATAACAAAGGTGTACCGAGTGATTTTGGCAATGAAAATAGCATAAGCTGCCATAAACAAGAGGAAAACTAACCTTGGAATCCAAAGTTGTACAAAAGGTTATTAAATATATTGAAAATATGGCGACATAATGACTGTTACAGGGGGCAGTTGCATATGCAGCTTCCACCTTCTTGCTTCTAGTTTTTAATGGTTTGAATCCTAACATGAATACTAATGGGGGCAGCTTGGCAGTTTCAAGGATTATTGACTCATTTCAAATGTTTTTGTAGATGATTCTTGCATAAAAAATGCAACATAGAAACTTAGATTTTGGATGAGAATTTATTTTTTCATTATGGAACAGGTTAAGTGCTCATTTTCAGTAAAAAGAAATTCTCAAATTTTCTGCCTGTTTCTAATATAATTTCTGACAGTTTCTTTTGTTAGCTGAAATGAGCTTTGCGAACGCACTTCTCTCATTACCTGTTTTATATTTCTTAATAGTGCTTCCTTGAACCAGAGAGCTCATCTACAGTTACAAAAAGCATTAGAAAATATGCATGTTCTGTCTGCTATTGTCTAAAATTCAGACTTTCACCATATTGGCTTATTGACTTTTTCATAAATAGGGTTAATGAGGGTGGTAAACTTCTAAGGGAATTGGAAATAATCCAGAAGGAAGGAAATGTATAACACACTAATTCTGTAAGTCGCTCCCAAGTGACTTCATTTCTTCCAGTTATTGTAAATCAGTGAAACAACTGAATCACTGCTCTCTTGTGGTAACCAATTAGATTCTTTAATCAAAATAATAAGCTGGAATACTTGGGATCAGGGGTTGGTAATATACGGTCAACCACAGGCCTGTGGAGCTATGGTATCTGGCCTGTGGGTCAGAGGACTTTGCCTGCCTTTGCCCACATCCACGCTGGAGCTGGGCAGGGAGCAGGGCCAGGCAGCTAGAAGCTGTGCTCATGCAGCTGCCACTTTTTCTCTGTTCTCTACCTTCTCTCCATCTCCATTCTCTACCCCCTCCCCACCTCCTTTAGTAGCTTCTGGCCAGTGGTGGGCTGTGCTGGAGCCATATAGCTTCCAGCTGTGTCTATGCCATACTTCCAGCTGCCTGAGCCTAGTTCACTTCCCCACCTGCTGGAATCTGGGTCTGGACTGCATCCAGGGAACTTGGGCGTGTAGAGAGGCAGTGGCTGCACAGATATAGAAGTGGTAGTGGCTGCACAGATACAATAGCTGACCCAGCTGCTTGTCCCTGATGAGGATGCAGGCCAAGCCCCCTGTTCCCTGCCTGCCTTGAATGGTAGCTGGGTTGCTGCAGCCCATGGCTTGTAAAGGTTGCTGGCTGCTGATTTTGAAGAAATCTTCATTCATTGTTATGAATTCAAAACTGAAACATGGTATTAACAGAAACTGGCTCATGGAACTCCTTTTCCTTTTCTCAAAGTTGACTTTTGATGGAAATGAGGTACTTTTATCAACGTGGGAGATGCCAAACAACAGAAACTTCACCGTAACTGAGTTCTTCCGTAATAGTTAACACATCGTGTAATTATAGGATACATTCCCTTTTATTCACTGCTAGCTGGATGCCTGCAAGCAGAGTGCAGTATTTAAATATTTGTCTAATCGCTGCAAAAATCAAAATGATTAAATGCATCCCTTCATTGTGTGTGTGCACTTTTATGTATTTATTTATTTTTTGGTTTAACATTACCATTGGCTAGGGTTCTATGCACTTTTATCTCTATGTGAAGCTGTATTTAGCTAATTTAACTAATCTCCAGGATGCTAGTAGATGGATGTTGATTGCTGCCTCATCTGTATTCTTCTCATCTAGAAAAGTTCTTAATTGTTCAAAATTCTAGGAAGGGAGTGTGGAGGAAGACAATGTTGTGAAAGACTGATTTCGAAGGTGACTTCAAAATACCAAGCATCTATAAATAAAAAGGCATTGAGAAAATCTGCTATGTCCTTCAGAGATGTAAAATATAACACAAAGACATGTAAGATGAACCACATGAGAAGAGTATTTTAAATAACTGATAGAGGAGGAAACTTGGATGTTTTTAAGCTTTGTGATAATTTAAAAAAAAAAATTCCATTGTGAAGGATGCTAACTTTATTTCTGAAAGTTAAGTTGGACATAATTGGGATATTTTTTTAAAACTGGTATAACCATCCTCATATTTAATCCACAGTTTGGAACCCCTAGTGAAAATAATGTCATAAGCTTTATTGTTTCAACAAAATACAGAATTATTAGAATATTATGATTTTGCTGTCATGTTTGTCTTTCCATAGCGTAATATTGATTTGTAGACAGTTAAAGTATTACTGTATTGCTTTGATAAGGTTAAAAAATAATTTGATATTCTTCATAATTGCCTTGTGACACAGTAAAAACTACTCAAAATTAGAGTATTCCCATGGATTTGGAGCCAGATGGCACTAACTTTAATTGAAAATATATAAGAATGTAAACGGTGCCACAGACGCAGGAAAATAAAGGTTAAAGTTGAAATGAATTAGTTGAAAAGCTGCTGTCATGTTCTTGGAAAACATTTTGCTTAGAAACTGTAGCTTATTTTTGTAAGAGTGGTTACTAGCAAGTGCTACAAAAGATGAGAGAGGCTGTAACACTGATTGCGAGTAGTACCCAGCGAAGCAATGAACTGAATTTATAAAAGATGGAGAAGACCTAGTGTTTTGAAAACGGGTATATCCCTTGCATGACTTTTTTATTTTCTGTAGATCTATTAACTGGGAAAATTCTAGAGTTTCCTCATCACATCTTTTATGCATCCCTTTCGTTTCATTAGGTACAAGATGTTTTTAGCATAAAGTTAAAACAACAAATGTTCTGCTGGTAGTAGCTTTGTGTGGTACTGTTGCATATTAGGTCATTTACCATATGGGAACTATGAATGCGCTTTGCAGATTTACAACAAAGTATTATATTCAGATTATGTAATGTCAAAAATAGTTGGGCATTTGTTCTCAGTACTTCCACTGGTGTTCTTTTAAGCACTTAGGAGTTTGTCTTTAATAATTAGTATTACTGAAATATTTTTTTAAAAGCTGCTTAAATTATTAATTAATAAAGTTTTGGGCTAAATTAAGTCAGGACTAAATGTTTAAGATGCAAATTTAAGAGTGGTAATGGAAAGCAACCTCATGTTAGTATGCTGTGGAAGGGTGCTCTCTTTTTTTTTTCCTGTACTTTCTGGTGATTAAAATTTAGGGGTACACTGATAGATTTTTGGGGCTGATACTGATAGCTGATTTTTAAGGAGACGTACCAGCCAATACCAATCCAATTTCCAAAATCAGTCCAGCAGTTTGAAGAGCAGTGTCCAGTTGGTAAGTCTGTTGTGGTGGAAGGGAAGGAGTGTGGAGGAGGCAGATTGAGGCCCCTGTGGTGAGGGAGGGAGTGGGGCTGGGGCAGGACAGAGCGTGGGACAGAGCTACAAGCTGTTCATCTGGGGGCAGGGGAGTGCAGCTCCTGGCGCTGTGCGCACCCCAGGAGGTCATGGTGGGGGGATCTGCATGGGATGGAGTGGGGCGGCTGCTGCTGTGGGTTGGGGCTGGGGTGAGCTCTGTGCCAGGTTCTTCCCAGTTGAGGCTTGGCTGGGCTGCGCTTGGGGCAGGCGGTGGCATTGGGAGGGGGCTGTGGGGCGGTGCTGCAGCCACTCCAAAATTCACCATAGCTCCCCCCCCAACTCCTCTCAGCCCACCCAGCCTAGCCCTGCACAAATCCGGGGGCACATGCCTCCCCCCATATACTCTCTTGGACAAGTGGCATGAGCAGCCAGATGAGCAGCTCCCAGACAAGCAGTGTGCAGTGGCAGGAGCCAGCCCCGCCCTTCCCATGCCTCCCGGATGAGTGGCTCCATCCTGCACCAGCCCCTGCCCCAGCCCACTCCCTCTGTCACTGTGGGGGGCCTTGATTTGCCCCCCAAGCCTCTTTCCTCCCTGCTCTTAGACCATGCCAGACTTGCTAGCTGCATGCAGTTCTCCAAGCTGCTGGGCTGTGCCCCTCGCTGCCTACATGCTGTGCTGCAGCTGTGTGCATGCATGGGCCATTTATTGGCCAAATTATCAGCCATATCAGGCTGATTTCCGAAACAAACTATTTTCTTTGTATCAGTGCCGATCTGATATTGGACTGATGCATCAGTGCACCTCTATTAAAATTCTGTGCTATGGTTGACTATTGTATAAACAATTCCTGTCCTCTTATGGCTACCTAAATTAGACCACCTATGTAACTGTTTAACCTCAGTGCTACTGTCGCTTTTGACTCCTCCTTAGTTGGGTTTAATTCTTGTTACACAAATGTAGCCTTTTAATTTTTTTTAAACATTTATCTTCTCTCTAAATGAGAGGGTAGGCTAAATCTGGGTTAGAATTGAGGGGGCCAGTCTGCGGGGTCAGTATGAACAGATTCAGACACATACTGTACAATTTAAGCATTTTTATAACCTTAAATTCTTTTCCCATTAGCATAAATTGCAAAATTGAATTGTACATTTGTGGGATACTGTACTGTCGTCTTTATCAGTCTACGGCAGTTATATTTTAATATAAAATGATGTGAAACTTCCATGGTAAATCTTCCTACAGTAAAAACATGCATTTCATCCCCATTTCCAATTGCTGTCTCTAAAAGTTAAGTCTAGAGACTTATCAATAAGGCGAAATTCTCTTTACTGATTTATGCTCTTTTGCCTATGAATGTAATAGGAAAATTGTATTTGACCACACAGCCGTGTGGGGGGAAAAATGCTAATGTTATAAAAAGGATGGGGTCCTAGGACACTTTGGTTTATTCTTGGATTTCTCACTGAATTGATAAATCCTTATTTGCCTTTGTTTGTTTAATGATCTGAGAGTGAGTTTAAAAATATATTCTTTTGTGCAGGGATGTTGACAGGCTGAATTTAAATGTCTATACAAGGACTAAAATATGATATTTGAAAGGTATAGTTGAAAAGTAATAGAGTGCAAAGAATAATTTTGTGCTAATGAAGCAAATGACTGCTGTTTTTGTTTACAGGCCCTTTTGGAATAAATCATGGAATAGAGCTTCATTCAGATGTGGTAGAATATGCCAAGGAAAAATTGGAGAGCTTCATAAAATATAGTGATAGCTTTGACAAGTAAGTATCTAATTTGCCAAGCTCTTTCTGAAGCCATAAATTACATGTTTTTTTAACTAAAGTAAAAAAAACCCCAAACTTTTAAACATCTTTTAAATCTTTGTTGTTGAAAATCAAATTTGAGTGTTGTGAGATGCCTTTAAATGTGGGCAATGTTGAGGTAAATTTGGAACTTGGAGAGGGGTAGGGTTTTAAGTTGAACATCTCTGCTATTTGAGTGTGTTTGGCAAAATCTATCCTTCAGTATTCTGGCCCATAAGCTTGCATAAAGATGAAGATATATTATCATGCAGGGTACTGTCTTTTCAAGTGTAAGGTAAATTTTTGTATATGAGAGGGGCAGATTAATATTAAACAGACACCCTGCTGTGCCTGTCTGTTGCACAGTAAGTTAATCTGAACCATTTAACCTGGTAGTGTTGAACAGGATATACAGGTGAATGAAAGACAGACACAGGAATGGATTTAAGCAGCAAGGCCAGAACTTTAACGGTGGGAGAGAAGTGTTTTATTTCTAACCACATGCACCAAATCATTTATAGTTACAGGCATACCTCGTTTTATGGCACTTCGCTTTATTGTGCTTTGCAGATATTGTGTTTTTTACAAATTGAAGGTTTGTAGCAACCTTCATTGTTGTCTTATTTTAAGAAATTGCCACAGCCACCCCCACCTTCAGCAACCATCACCCTGATCAGTCAGCAGCCATCAACATTGAGGCAAGACCCTCCACCAGCAAAAAGATTACGACTCGCTGAAGGCTCAGATGATGGTTAGCATTTTTTAGCAATAAAGTATTTTTTTTAATTAAGGTAGGTACATTGTTTTTTTAGACATAATGCTATTGCACGCTTAATAGACTACAGTATAGTGTAAACATAACTTTTATATGCACTGGGAAACCAAAAAATTCGTGAGACTCGCTTTATTGCGATATTCGCTTTATTGCGGTGGTCTGGAACCGAACCTGCAATATCTCCGAGGTATGCCTGTACTAGGTATTACACTAGATTCATTGTGGATTTTCAGGGTTCTCACCATCTAATTAAAACTCAGTGTAGACTGTTCCCTGGGACTTAGCCCACTTCAGAATCCTATTGCTCTTCCCTCCGGTGAAGATGGACTATATAGAGGCGCTTGTACACATGACAGGGTTAGCCCTCAGGGTTTTATTCTCTGTCCCCTAAATTGAAATGGTGAGGTTTTTAATTGAAACCCACCATTTCAATTTTTCCATCGTGTTATGGCAAGGGGGCCCCATCCTTTTTTTGCTGGAGCCTCCCCACTGTTGGGGCAGGGGGTGGGCAAACTGCTGGCCAGCCAAGTGGCCCCTGAGCTGTTGGGGCCCTGGTCCTTCCCTCCATGGTGGAGCTTTGTGGGCAGGATGCTAGTGGGCTGGGTGCTGTCCCAGCTCAGAGGCAGCACCTGGCTTGATCCAACTGTTCCCCAAGCCTGCCTGGGGAGCAGCACATGGTGGGCTTCCAGCAAGCAGGCTCAGGGAACAGTTGGATTGGGGCAGCACCCAACCTGGTAGCAGCTGCACAGGCAGCCCTGAGGGGTGCTGCTGCTATGGAGGGAAGGACCGGGTCCCCCCCCCCCCACAGCTTGGTATCCACTCAACCCACCAGCAGCTCGCCCCCTGGCCGTGGGAGCGGTGGGCAGGCTCCGTTGGTGGGGGAAAAGGGGAAGAATTGGGCTCCTTGTCACTTCTGCCTTCAGCAGGTGCCTGATGAAAGGAGAAGCAGCAAGGGGCCTGATCCTTTTTTTTTTTTTTTTTTTTCCTGTGGAGCCTGCCTGCCCCTCCTGCAGCTGGGGATGAGCTGACAGCTGCAATGCATTGTTGCAAACTAAACTACATCTGAATGCAGTTTAGTTTGAAATGGTGCAAGCTCATTTAAAACCCCAAAACAGGTGCACATATAATGTGTGACACCATTAAGCCACAAAGATTAAATTTTCATCATATATACATTGTAATGACTGTTCCATGTACAAGTGCCCTAGGGTACCAGAGTGCACTGTGGCCTGTGAAGGCTTCAGGTCTCTTCTGCTCCTTACAAAGTTCCACCAGCTATCAGAAAAGGTGTTGAGTTATCCCCATTAAAGCTTTTCTATCTTTCCTCTTCTCTAAATGTATGTCAGTTTGCTGTTGCATTTCTGGTCTGATTACTCTCTCTGCTACCACTGAGAGAGACATTTTTACTAGCGTAGACAGATACCCCCAGGTAAGTTTATAGATGGCAACTGAGTTTTACCTCTCAATTTTTTTTTTTGCTTTTATTAATGTTTAAATCTGACCTTTGATATGGGTAGGGTTTTTGTGTGTTACACTTCTTGTTTTACCTCCCCCTAGGACAAATAAAATTATACCAAAGTAAACTTGGTGTGTTTCATTACTATCGTCTTTACTTTTTAGTTCTAGGCAAATCCTGTTACCTGAGGTTTTGCGCAGCATCAATTAAAATAGACTTATGCCAGAAGTGTACCCTTTTATGTATTATGGAGGAATATTTCACATGTTAAGAAAAACTATTGCTAGATCCCGTGTCACTAATACGTAGTCATTAATCCTCTCTGCTAAATTGAATGTGCATTTTTTGTCGGTCAGACTTAAATGCAACTACCGATTCAGATCCCAGGTATTCAGTCACTCAGCTTTCTCATACTGAAACTACAAACTAAGTGATGTAAATGTATTTCTTTTTAGTAGATTGTGTGGGATGTAAGGTAAGCGGGTGCAAATGAGTCTTACTATCTTTTTGACCTTTTTTTCTCAAGATAGCCATTGTTCTTGGTATTCATCTTTCATTTAAAGTTTCCTAATCCACTTCTTGCCTCTTGCATAATTTCTGGATCATCGCAACTAAAGCATCTGTTACACTACATAATCTACTCAAAATTTTGACTTAAGTATATTCTTATTCCCAAATAGAAATTAATGTCTATACCTTATTTGAATAATAGTTCTTAATATGTTATTTTGGAAGATTCAAATGTACTGAAGTAGCAGAGTCGTCTCTTGATTTCAGAAAGATTAATGTAGGAGTGTAACATTCAGAGCGTCATGCCCAAGTTTAAAGTGATAACTGTGGGGTTTTTTTTAGCTGCAAATGACTGTTACATTGTGGTATTGTACAATTTATGCTTGTTTAAATAACATACTCCAGGGTGTATGCTAGGCTCTTTCTTGCAATCATAGCCGAGCAAAAGTTATATAATCTAATAAATACACTTCTGTTACATGCAAGTAATTCTTGCCACTTGGTTAATCACTAATAGAATAAATGGCTGGCTGCTTTGCAGATTTTTTTTCTTCTCTGAATATCTGCAGTTTTGGCTGACAACTTTCTTTGCAAATAGATCTGATTTGTTCTTATTTAGTACTGTTTTTAAATTATTTCATATCCTGACTATATCTGAGGTTCTTCCTGTGATTGCAATGGTTCACTCTCCTAATGATTTGATTTGTTTGCACAGATTTTATACAAAACAAAGACATAAATGATCATTTTAATGGATTTGTTTTTTTGAAAATCGTATAGTGATATATTGTTATCCAGGAGACCTGATTTTGATTTGTACTTCAGTAACCTGATGTCTTGTCTGGGGCTCCAGGAAATAAATGAGGAATTGTCTGACTTCTGAACTCAGCTACATTGTCTGCCTACATTGTCTGACTTCTGAACTCGGCTGATTTCAGATTTGATTTGTTCAGTATTTGGATGAAAGGGCTCCAAAGCAAAGAAGAGGAATAGTGATTAGTGTCTTTCACCTCTGTACCTGGATTGAACCCAGCAACAGCCTGTACTGACTTTTCGTCCTTTTGATTTAAATGAAAGTCTCCGTCAGTTATGCAGATCCCCGGGACCACCACCGCTAATAGAAATGCTTGATAGCAGACTCTGCAGAGAGACCCAGAATAGAATAGGAATAAAAATTACATTTTACCAGGGTATACTTGAGGCATATTGACAGGGCAGTATGTAGAAGTTTGGACTGCTACTTCCCTGTGCTGTACTTACTTAGTGGATAAATAGAATTTTCCTCTGTCTCTAAAATAGAACCACCCTATTTTTAATTACTTGAGTCTTAAGATAAAGAATAAAATCTACAGTGCCATATAATGCTTTTCTTATTGGTTCCAGCTGCTTGTACTTAATAACCGTGATCTTTCTTGTGTTGTAATTATTCCTATGCCAATCGGATGGGACTAAATTTCATACTGATGACATGTTTCTGTGCTTGTTTGTATGGTCAGGTCTTGGAGCAAAATGCAAAAAGAAGAAAGAACCTTTGTATCCCTAAAAAACAAAAAGACAAAAACAAAAAAAAGATGCAGAGAAATATCTTTTCTGCTTTGCTTGGTTCTGTCCTCATACTTTTGTCAACCTCTGTACAAGCAGAAAAAAGGACACACACAACAATTTCTAGAGTCTTTGTATTTTTTTTTAGTGCAACATCACATGGGATTGCTTATAGCTCATGCAGCTAAGTTCTGATGCTCAACATAAAATTCTTACTGTGCAAACAGTTAGATTACTGGATGCGAATGCCATGTCTGCATTCTTTTTGTAGGAGAGGAGAGTGTTTGAAATTCATAGAAATACTGTGTTGTATGGCATACCACTTTCCTTCTGATGCCTAATGAAAATAGCATTGAATTAATATAAAATTTGTTTCAGTGAGGGAACAGGTTTTGGTTCAGAGCTCAGTAGCTCTATGAAAACAGTATTTCCAAAGGGATTTGAGCAACTGTGCTCTCTTTCTGACTAATAATTAAAGGAGGATTGGCTTCCTCTGGTAGTTAGTCTACTACCACTTGTTCCCTCCTGTGCTGAGTCCTCAGAGAAAAAAAAATCACTTATCAAAAAAATAGATCATTCTAATAAACAATTTTGTCTGTATCCCTATCCGGCCAATCTTTAAAGGGTTAGTTTTTCTCTGAATGGAGATAGAGTTGTCATTTGATGATCTAAGAGTGTCATTTGATGATCTAAAGC